TATCTAATTGTGTCCTCTATTTTTTCTGTATAAATCAAGACAGTCCAACGCGTAGCAAGTGATATGTTCTCATGTAATTCGTATTGCATATATTCATTAACATGGAAAGATAATGAAAATAAATAGTAGGACAATTTTTCAAAACCATCCTATTTGAACATTTAATCCCAAAAACAGCATGTTTTGAACTTATTTGCAAAAAACGATCTGGTTTCAGCTTTGGCGCTGAAACCAAGTCGATTTTTGTGAAAAAGCTTCCGAAAATTCACAGGAGTTGAACTCCCGTGAAGTTTAGTAAAGCTGCTAAACTTCACGGGAGTTCAACTCCCGTAAAATTTCATAGTTCAATTTTTCAATAGTTCAAATTTTTTTGAACTATGAAACTTCACGGGAGTTGAACTCCCGTGAAGTTTCGTCAAAATTTTTTCAAAAACCAACATGGTTTCAGCGTCAAGGCTGAAACCAGGTCGGTTTTTGAAAATAAGTTCAAAACAGATTATTTTTGGGATTAAATATGGAAAAAAGTTGATTTTAAAAATTCGTCCATAAATAGTAAAAAAATGCTAAATCGCTAACACATAAAGATCTACTTAGAACAAAAAAATTTGTTTGCATCACATGGATCCACCGAAATCTCTCTTAAATAATAATTTTATTCAATTGTTGTCAAATAAAGGCAATTAAATTGACGACCCCCCACGTTCTCTTGGCCAACTACCATTTGAAAGACAGCGCGGCCATCCTTCGTTTTCTCACCATTCACTCTCTCTCTGTCCTACGTCTGGGCCCCACCTCCCCCACCCCCATTAAACGTGGGGAATTCCCGTGGGCTGTATAGTTATTCACTCTCACATCTTCGCCACACTATTAGTCCAAGATCCGATCTTTTTCTTCACTCTCCCCCATTTTTCTCTCAATTATCCCAAGTAAAAAAAGAAAAATCAACGATGAGGGAGATCATCAGCATTCACATTGGTCAGGCTGGGATCCAAGTGGGAAATTCTTGCTGGGAATTGTACTGTTTGGAGCATGGGATTCAGCCTGATGGAACCATGCCCAGGTCAATTTTTCCTTCTTTCTTTCTTTCTTTCTTTTTTTTTTTTGATTGATTTTTCTTGGATTTTTCTTTAGCTTTAAGTTCAAACAATGAGATGAAGAAAACCCATGTCGTTAAATAATCCGGAAACACGTTTTTATAACTAAATTTCAAACCCACCTCCCAATTCTGTAAAAACCGCAAATTTTTTTATACTGAATTTTGATTTTTTTTTCCCTCCTTTTTTTTTTGAATTGTGCAGTGATTCAACTGTTGGAGTTGCCCAAGACGCATTCAACACATTCTTCAGTGAGACAAGCTCAGGCAAGCATGTACCCAGAGCCATTTTCGTAGATCTCGAGCCCACAGTTATCGACGAGGTTAGAACCGGAAATTACAGGCAACTGTTCCATCCTGAGCAGCTGATCTCCGGCAAAGAGGATGCCGCTAACAATTTCGCTAGAGGACATTACACTGGTAACTGAGCTGGGTCCAATGGAATTGAATTCAAGTGGTTTTGTTAGTTTATTGAGAATCTGCTTTGCTTTGCAGTGGGAAAGGAGATTGTGGATCTGTGCTTGGATCGAGTTAGGAAATTGGCAGATAATTGTACTGGGTTACAGGGATTCATGGTGTTTAATGCTGTTGGAGGTGGGACTGGATCTGGGTTGGGATCTTTGTTGCTGGAGAGGTTGTCTGTTGATTATGGGAAGAAGTCGAAGCTCGGGTTTACCATTTATCCCTCTCCTCAGGTATACATGAATCCTAACTGGTAGATGATGTTTTGTGTTTTACTGCAAATGGGTTATTGTAGTTTAGTTCATATGTCTTTTTTAGAGATCTAGATCTAGATTGTTAAAGCTTGTTTCAACTAAAGGCCAAGGATAGTGTAGAACTTATACTATGTTGACGATCTGAAGGGCTACTAAGAATTCATGTGTCTTGAAATGCAATTCTCTTTTGCATCTGATGAGCATCTCGAATGTACCAACAAAGCTGTATTGTTTTCACCTATAAATACTTAGTTTTAGTAGCCAAGTGTAGGCTCTTTATTTAATCTTTGATGGATTGCAATAATTTGATAAATTCAGTGAATCCAGATATATGTGTATGAATTAAACTGTTGAGTTATTGGCGGTTTGTTCTTGGGTATACACCTGAATATCCATTTGCATGACACAAAAATACTTGAGCTTGATATCTTAGACACGTTCCACTTAAGATTTAACTTCCAATATCAAAGAAGGTTGTAGCTTCCAGCATATTTCTTTTATTTAGGGGGTGTTTGGTTCGATTTCTATAAATAAAAAAAAGGAAAAGGAAAAGGAAAAGTGTTAAGAAGTTAATTTCTTCGTATTTCTATAAAAATTTGCAGTAAACGTTTATTGAACTCAAAAAGTACTGCTTTTCTTGTTCGTTGGTTTTCTTTGTTTGGTTCAAAACATGAAAATGAGTTCTATAGAAAATACATTGTTTTCTTTTTCTTTTGTTTGGTTGGGTAAGAAAATTTTATGAAAAAAGTGAAACTCATACAAGAGTGTAAGCAATTTAAAATTTCTAGGTAGTTTCAAAGCTTATGAAAAAGTGGTATGGGTATACTTTATTACTATTTTAACATAAATGTTAGATTTCCTTGCAATTTCTACCCTTTTGGGGAGGAAGTTGATTTCTATAAAATACTACAATTTCCCCTACTTCATAGAAAACATTTCTATAATTTTTTTGGAACCAAACACAGTTTATAAAAATCTAAAGAAATCTACTATTCATGATAATGTCATTGTTAGGTGTTTTCCCTAAACTTTTCTACAAAGTAGGTGAACCAAACAGCCCCTTAGTGTGTAAACTATCAACAACTAAACTGAGTTTACCCTATCTTTGCAGACTATGATCATGCCGTTTTCTGTTACTTGCTGATGATTATTGTCACTTGCTGCTGATTATTGCTCATTTTGTTTATTTGTCAAGATTATGTACCCTTCTTATAAATGCAGGTGTCTACAGCAGTTGTGGAGCCTTACAACTCCGTCCTCTCAACCCATTCCTTACTTGAGCACACAGACGTTGCAGTACTTCTAGACAATGAAGCCATATATGACATCTGCAGAAGATCCTT